TAGCTGTATCTGATCATGTGCAAGGAGTGAACGAAAAAACGAAAGAAAGATCAGACTTTATTTTTTAAAGGGGTGGGCACACAGGCCCATCTATCATTCTACCCTTTCAGTCCACTCCTTGCATTTAGTTATTCATTTGTACATAATAACAGGCTGAATTCTTAACGTTTTGAAAATCAAGTTTGTTCGTTCATTCGTTCAATAAATACAACATGGTTAGACGCGTATTCTTTGCAGAACGTTGCAGAACCAACCCCAACAGCCCCTGGCTGTTGTGTGGTTTTTCTAGGCAAATTTACGTCCAGTAGTTTGTCATTGCTTTCTGGACAATTACTACATAATGTCATTGAAAAAATAATTTAGACACAAAAACACACACAAGAAATACTTTTAGACTTAAATACACACACCATATTGTCTATTCTAGTGACACTGTATATGGAACGTCAGAAAAGTCTATATAGCCGGGTGGTAACTATGTGCGCTTGACTTTACCAATAACCAAAACAGGTGACTATTGAAATTGACAGCGTTATGCAAACAAAATTTGTTTTTGGTGTGTAAACGTAACACTTCTATGGTAACCATGCTGCTATCTGGAACTTCCGTTTTAATTCAAGGCAATGCATGAATGAGATACAACCCCACCAGGACATCTACCAGGCGATAAACATCAGGTGACACAAAATGCCACCATGCGGATGAGGATCGTCCGGGGAGGGGTCCCAGAAACCCCGTTGAACCGTTAGGTATATTAGTTCGATCGGCTACAGCCTGGGTGGGGCTTTAAAATAAAAATTGCGTCCCGTATGAAAATTACATATAACACGTTATTCAAGACAATGTTTCGCATTTGTATGTTAACAACAACAACAAACACACACACAAACACACACACACACACACACACACACATACAAGTAAAGCTACAGTTCATAGCCTGGAATATTTCGAAAAGCAAAACAGAAAAGCTATATAAATCCTGTCACAAAAGTGAATCATGGACATTAGGCTGATTGGTGCCAAATTATGTGGAAGTGGCGGGAATGCGTCTTTAAAGACCAATAATGAGAATACCTTGGACATTTTTTTTTTTTAAATAAGCCTAATGAACAAATCTTGGAGTAAATTGACTCGCTGAAAAAAGCTGATTACTATATCAGAAGGAGAACTTCTACATTCTTTGGTCATTTCATTAGATGGAGAGAACTGGGTTGCACGGTGACGTTGGGAAAGTTGCAAGAGAAAAGATGCAGATGGAGGACGAGAAAAAAGACGCTGTATAATTTGACATTGTCTCAACCTCATTCACGTGCGTCAGGAATAATTTGAAGTAACGCAACAGGTTTTGCATAGATATGACTACACACTCTACAACTCAATGGCTACACGAAGACGACGATTTCGCTATATCTAAGCAGTTGCTTAGTACATACTTCATTTGTTTGCTTTATTACGTTCAGTTATTACGTTAGTATGCATCTGACGAATACAGTGACATTTGTTCTTCAGCATTCCAAGCCCTTAAGGTTCATTGCTGCAAATAGCACCCGCCTTCATTCATTCCTCTGGTTGGCATTCTTTTTCCAGTTGATGTGTGTTGGTCTGTCTGGATATTATCTCTCCCTCTCCATCATCTTCTTGTCCTGCCTCGTGGTCTACAACCATTCAGCTCTTTTTTGTACAGATGTTTTAACATTTTCTCAACATGCCCCAGCCAGTTTAGTCTATTAGCACTTATGACGCCTGTGATCAATGGTAATTTAAGCGGATTATGAATGTTATTATTTCTGTTCATTATCCAATACCCACTGTTTGCATCTCTCATGCGTCCAAAAATTCGTCTGTGTTCACAATACTCTTTACCATTTGACTAATACCTAAAAAAAAAAAAAAATAAGTTTGATGACAAAAGAATGCTAGAATAGTATGACGAATATTTGAGAAGCAAAATCGAAATTGAGAAGCAAAATCGAAATTTACAATCACTTTTAATCCAGTTAGTCTCTGCTCCATGCGGTCTAACAGGCTGCAGTGGTGGGGACATATATTCAGAATGATTGATCACAGAGAGATGAAACCTTTCTTTTCAGAGGAGATAAATTGGAGTTTACTATGAATAGGAAAAAAATAAGTGGGTAACTAATATGCAGGCGTATTTACATTTACTTTAAATGGAGTGGGGTGCCGGGGGGGGGGGGGGGCGGAAATGTCGCAAAGATGATAAAGGACACACACAGGATTAAGGTGATTATGTTTTAGAAGATGTATTTTCTTTGATAACTTTCGTGAACACTTAGTAATTAGGACATTTTTTTTATATAATAGCACCTTTTTACTCTTAATAGATATGCACGCTGATAAAAAGTGTAATTAATTATGAACCCCCCCCCCCCCCCCCCCCCCACACACACACACACACACATTCACACACACACATATATATTCACGCACACATAAACACGCATACACACACACACACAAACACTCATACATCAAAACACAAACCGAAGGACTGCATATATATTTTTTTATTTAATTGCGCAATTTCCCGTGTGTTTGTGCTGATAAAAGCTGTCTATCTGTAATTTTAATTACTAGTTTGTACTTTTTTTTTGTTTCAAATACTTGGAAGCTGAATAGGTCTACTTTTCGTGTATATTAATTTTGCGTGTGTAACTCTTTTGAGTCTATTCAAAATTATGTGTGCGTGAATATATGTGTGTGTGTGTGTATGTGGATGGGATCAGCGAACTAGAAAATATTTCCTTGTGTGTATATATTTATCAATATCCAATGTGAAGACCGTGTCAAATAAATGGTACACAGAACCTTTTATCCAAACAGCATGCTACTGTCCGGTACTTGAAGGCGGCGAAAGTTCCAATGGAGAAATTTAACCTCGGCATCAGTCTTGCGGGCAGGACTTACACTCTAAAGAATCCACAAAAGTCTCACGTTGGAGCCCAGTCATCCGGACCTGGAACTGCAGGTCCTTATACAGAAAAAGATGGTACACTAGCTTATTACGAGGTAGGGGTCAGTTGGTGTATCGAAACATGCACATCGACATCACTGTTTTGGCAGGTAGAATACATACACAAATACACACACACACACACACACACACTCTCTCTCTCTCTTTCTCTCACACTCTCTAAATATATACATATATATGTGTTTGTGTTTGTGTGTACGTAGTGGTGTGCTTGCTTGTAATAGAAGATAATGGAGGGTCTTTTACATGCAACTGGCTTATCTGCAATAGGCATTTGTATTGAGCAATCGACGTTTAACGAGTGATTTGGCCAGAACCATGCCTTTTCTTTTCATAACAATTATTATGCTGCCAACGTGATTCTGTGTCGACCTCAGAGCTTAGGCTAGAGATAACAATCTACTACAATAAGGATTCGTACCCAATTCATTCGTGCTGTCATGCACACATGTATCCGCTGTTCGTGCTCATCTCTCAAACATAGACAGCTCTTTGCATGAGGTAAAGTAAAGTAAAAAGGCCATGCCTTTCAGGCATATCCTGTAGATCTAGAACTATATTGTATAGACCAAACCACACTTAGAGGGTGACGTCCTCTCCGAAAGTAAGAATAGCAGATGGCAGAAAGACAATACCTGCGTATGCCCACTGGAGGTGAGTGGCCGTAGATCACGAGGCAGACCAAGAGAACAGTGGATAAAGTACATCCAAATAGACCTATACACACTTGAGGTCACCAGCTGGTACAAAAGGCCTATCACAGAGGTGTTACTGAGCATGGTAATATCTGCAGCAAAAAAAAAAAAACCTGTGGCTTGGAATGCTTAAGGGGTCACTACACGAAACATGTTTTTATTTTTTTTTATTTACAGAGTTAGAGCAGTTATTTTATAATGGTCATTTGTAGAGATACATTCTACGAATGCCGAACTTTACAAAAAAAAAAAAAAAAAAAAAAGAACACATTGAAAAAGTGAGATTTTTGTCATAAATTGGAAACAAAATGTCGTGTAGTGACCGCTTAAGACGAATTAATCAGTCAGGTGTTGTCACTACAATGAAGGTTGACGTCACTGGATCGCTACTATGCTGTTTTCACCTCGCATGTGCACACTCTGAAAGTGCTGTTCGTTCATCTCTTGATGGCGTCATCCCACTTGTTTCACTGCCTATCCCTTTAACGCTTGCCTTCAGCTGCCACCTAGTATGTGGTTTCATAAGAAGAGTGTATGCCTTTTAATGTGGTTGAAATATGTTGATTATCCTAACTTACTGTATTTTTTCCTTGATAATTTATAGAGAATCTCTTAATTAGATTGTTTTGAGGTCCATGAAACACGGAATGGTCTCTCTCTCTCTCTCTCTCTCTCTCTCTCTCTCCATCTCTCTCTCTCTGTATATATATATATGTGTGTGTATATGTGTGTGTGTGTGTGTGTCTGTGTATTTGTATACAGCCCTCTGTGAATCCTAAACGAAAAATAAAAAAGGGAGAATTTTCTTGAGGCCTCAGAAAGAGACAGTCATCATTTTTGTGCGTGTGTGGCCATGTTAGGAGAAGAGGGAAGCGGAAACATGTTGTCACTACTGGAAAGCACGAGATGATTTTGACAGCCTTTGTCATCAACACACGAACCGATACTAGCAACTGCAGATAGCAGTTTGTGGAGAGGCATGATTACCCATGCCAGTCAGCAAGGCACTTGATGTTGATAAAGCAACTTAATAGGTAACACACATGGTATTTAGCAGCTACCACTGTTGCCTCTGGAATCCATAGGTTCATCGAGATCAGAACGCATGTACGCGGCCTAAAGTCTTGGTACTAAGCGGATATTTCGAATAAGGCGTGAGGTGGGGGGTTGGTGGCGGGACGGAAATATCGCAACGATGATAAAGGACACACACAAGATTAGGGTGATGATGTTTTAGAAAATGTGTTTTCTTTGATTTCTTTCTTAAGACAATTGTTCCTATAATAGCACCTTTTTACTCTTAATAGATATGCACGCTGATAAAAAGCAGCGCAAGTGTAATTAATTATGAACCCCAGCTATCTCGATTTTTGACCAGTGGCAATCTTTGGGCCTCTTTTGAGGACGTTCGTAGTGTCATCGTTAAGGTATGTTTTCGTGATTAAATGTTGAATTCTACTTACTGAATCGATCGATCGTATTTCTTTTTCTTTTTTTTTTTTGTCTTTACCTTCTCCATCCACACTCTCTTTCTGGCAGCCTGCGCTATCTCTCTTTCATTCTTTGTAATCTCTTCACTCTCTTCCTGATCTCGGTTTTCACTTTCACTACTCTCTATCTTTACCTTCTGTCTATTCTTATGTTCTTTAGTCAACCTCTACTCCCTCTCTTTCCTATTTTCTCTTTCAATTGATTATTTCTCTACTATATCTCTCCTTTATTTCAACTATTTTTTCACTCTCTCTTTCTCCCTCCCTATCTCTTTCTCTCCCTCACTCTGCCCTCGCCCCCATCCCCCTAACTCCAGATCATTTGCGTCTGCTCTCACACATCTTTACATCATAGTAGAGGTGGAATTCAGTATCTTCTTTCCATCTGTAGTTACCATAGAGGATGCCATCTTCTTCTTATTTTCTTCTGTCTTTCTATCCCCCAATGGAGCACAGGCCCTCAACCAACTCATGCCAAGTCGTTCTATACTTCGCCATTGCATGAAGCTCTCCCTACGTCCTCCCAATCTTTCTAACTTCATTCTCCAGCTCTCTTCTCCATGTCTTTTTGACCTTCCTTTATTCCTATGCCCCTGTGGGTTCCAATGCAAAGACATTCTAGTTATGCTGTTCTCCTGTTTTTTCATTATGTGTCCTATCCAACGCCAGCGTCTTTCCCGCACCTCTTGGTCCACTATAGCCTGTTTAGTTCTCTCCCAAAGCTCTACATTAGTTATTCTATCATACCATTTAATTCCTTCAATTCTGCACAGGCACCAGTTAATGAATGTTTGTAGTTTATTAGTAATTGCCTAAGTTGTTCTCCATGTTTCCGCCCAAAACAAAAGTAGTGATTTCAGATCATAATTAAAAAATTGTTAGTGTAGTATTTCTTTTAATTTGTTTTGACCTCCACAAATTCCCACGTGCTATGAATGCTTATCTTGCCTTTTGTATTCTTATTTTAATATCTCTGTCAGTTCCTCCATCTTTATCTACATTACTGCCCAAAAGGTGTACGACTCCACTTCTTGGAGTTGGGTGCCATTAAGGGAAACCACACTACTATTTGCCTGATTTATTCTCATTATCTTTGTCTGTCCTTTATCTTACCGTAGAGAATGCCACAGAGACCATTAAGGGAAACCACACTACTACTTGCCTGATTTATTCTCATTATCTTTGTCTGTCCTTTATCTTACCATAAAGAATGCCACAGAGACTGTAATATACTCCATCCCCGGGCAGGCTAACCCAGTCAACAAATGCACGCAGAAGTCAGATATGTTGGCCGAATAACGCAAATATCGCAGCCAAACGGAAGAACGCCGAAGAAGAACCCCTGGGCCTAGTAACGCTAGTCACTGAGAAACATGGTGTTATACCTGCTCCTTGAATATTAGTTTTCCTTTTGGGCCTAGGAGGGCGCATAGGGCAGAGATAATAACTCTCCATGTCTGGTGGTTCGTTGCCACCTGCTTTAGGTCTTAGATGTTTGTCATGCCCAAGGTTGAGCCTTCCTTGATGTTGCTTCTACATAGTCTCTCTTGGTCTTCCCCTTTTTTTTCATTTCTGATGTCCATATGAGGGCTTCGCGAGGACGTCTTGTCTTATCCATACTAAAGTGCATGGCCGATTAAGTTCCAGCGGTGCTTTCGTAAAAAAATTGGATTCAATGTCTTACTTGGTCTCATGTGTTTTTTGTTTTTGTTTTTTTTTGCATATTGGATCTAAAATCTATCTAGTGGAGATTTGGTATTCTCCTAAGAGACTTGTTCTAAATATTGTCTAATTTTTGGTTGTTGTAATATCAAGAACTACTTGATATGGAAAAACATAATAACAGAAGGCATGGTGCCAAGAAGGAGGGGCAGAAGTTGACCTATGGTGAGCTAAAAAGACTGAACTGAATGTGTGTGTAACTGACATAGGTTTATCTTAAAAAAAGAATGTCTCACCAACATGTTTTATTGTTTGGTTGTTGAATGATTTAAAAAAGCTTGGCACATATTTTGTCTTCAGGCCTGCTTTGCCAAAGATAACGGGCTTGGCGGTGTCATGATTCGCTCTTTAGACCTGGACGATTTCTCCGGTGTGTTTTGCAGCCAAGGAAGGTATCCGCTTATAACTGCAATCTCATCAGTTATAAAGGAATCCAGCTGTCGAATGTAGGTCGTATACATACTTATCATACCGATATACGTGTTGTATTGTGCTTCTATATTTCTTTTAGGTTCCAACAATGCTTCGCAGCATTAGTATTAGCAAAATAGTCTTACGTAGAAGTTTGTTTTTTCCGACTTGTTCTTTGTCTTCTTTAACATAGATTCCTTCTCTTCTTTGTTCTTCTGCTTTTATTAACTTATTCTTGTTATTCTTCTTCTTCTTCCTCTCCTTCTGCGTCTTCTTCTTCTTCTTCTTTTTTATTTTATTTTTTTTTTAAATTATTATTTAATTTTTATTTTAAATTCAGAAAGGGCGGCTGTTTTGTGGTGCTCTCTGGACAATGGAATTGTAAGAGCTTATGTTCCACGCCTTACAGTTAATAACATTAACATCAAAAGAGAAAGCAAACTGAGGTATCTGGGTATCATTTTCGATAGCAGCCTGTCATTTAGGGATCATGTATAGGCAGTTGCAGTGAAGTGACTAAATGGACACAACGCTCTCAAGATTATGACAGCAATGGACATGGAACAAAGAATGCTGTTCACAATGTTCCAGCAGTGAGGCTGTCAATGATAGATTATGGACTTGGAATGCTTACCATATCAAAGAGTCAGCTGATGAAACTTGAACGCATACAGAATTAAACCATGAGGGTAATTCTGGGATGTATAAGAGATACCCCGGTAGTATGCATGCGATACATACTTGCACTGCCTACTATTGCAGATAGGCTCTTAGTTCTGCAGGCAAAATCATATCTCAGACTAGCTGCATGCAAAAATCACCTCAAACATGAAATCCTGGGTAGAGCTAAGGATCACAGACTGTGAATAGGAAGCACTAAATGCTCCGCTGCTGCGCTAGTGGAAGACATATTGGCCTTAACAGTCCTATTTGATGCAAAGTGGAAACTGTCATTCCCAGCAAAATCTTGAAGCTTGTATACCCCTAGTAGAGTGCATAATGCAAAAGTAAGATGTGAAACACTAACGATCCCACGTCAGAATTGCAGCTGACTGTGGGTGCTAATGGTCAGTCACGACTGCCGGGATTGCAGCCACAAAAGTACACGTCAACCGCCATACACACAAACACACACACACACTCTCTCTCTCTCTCTCTCTCTCTCACACATACACACACACACACACACACACACACAGACATACACAAAATGCTACATAAAATCCGCACTCAACCTTTTAGCTGGGCGATATAGCCTTTTTCCAGGAATGTGCTAGAAACAGCATAAGAAGTACTTAATAAAACCAACGATAATAGAAATGTTTTTCTGCCAGTTTACATTGGTTGCTATTCTCCCTTATTCTCTAACAAAAATGTTACGTGTCAAAATAGCCGACAGGCACGCTAGTAACAGTGCTACACTATGTCAGAATAGCCGACAGACATGCTAGTCACAGCGCTACACTGTGTCAGAACAGCCGACAGGCACGCTGGTCACAGCGCTACACTGTCAGAATAGCCGACAGACACGCTAGATACAGCGCTTCACTGGCTCTTTAAGAGTTCCAGTACCCAATAACTATACAATCACTGACAGACCGCTTTGAGCAGATTGCACATCGATGTTTTATGAACTCATAATAAGGTAATTGATTTTAGTACCCTGATTGGGTTCAGGAACCCATACTTAACAAACATGTTGTAACATGTCAACAACTAATTAGGGGTGTTTCCTTCGTAGTCGGAGCACATCTGCCTAAGAAGCGAAGAACTAACAGTCTGGTTATAAATAAGCCATATCTGTATTAGGGATGCCCTAGCCGAACACGAGTCCTGTAACAAGACCAATGCCAAGAAGATGATAGAGAACAGAAAATTTCAGCTAAACCTCACAGTCGAAATGGTTGGGAGCATCTCCTTGTCTGACTGATGTGGCTCTGTATTGTAAACAGACGAACCAGGTACTCCCGTTCAAATCAATAACCGAAGAGTTTAAAGTTGACAAAGTAAGACTCGCGATGATGTTGCGTGAGTCTTCAGACCCCACTGTTACTGCTGTCCAGCCCGCTCTAAAAACAGGTGTTAAATGGAAAGTCCTAGATGCGATTGAATCTGCCCAAGATGCACTGATATTGACAGAAGTGATAGGCTACACTCAAACCCACCGTCGAGGACTAGAGCACGGGAAAGTCAGTTGGTGGTCCATGGCCACATCCAAAGAGCGCCGAGACATGGCTATACAGCAGAAAAGAGACACCGAAAACCAGGTTCGGGTCCAAAAAGCCACACAACAGTTGCAGCAAGTCCATTGGATCGGCCTAGAGAGCGCCTTGCCACGAGTACTCACATGGGTTGAGATCTGACGAATGGCCCCGCTGCGACTGAGCTTTATCGTACGATCTGCCTACGAAATATTACAGTGCAGTGTCAACATGGTCAAGTAGAGTGCGTCTTAGGACCTGACATGCCCGCTATAAATAGCTAAGCAGACGCTCGAGCACGAAATGTCCGCGTGCAAAAAAGCCCTAGGTCAGTGTAGGTACACTTGTTGCCACAACAAGGTACTGAAATAGTTAGCGGCCGTTGTGGACCAAGCTAGGATGAGGGCCAATGTGAGGGCCAGTCTTACCGTCGTCCCTGTTCGCTTCCTCAAGGCTGGAGAAATTTATAAAGGTAAATTTAACAAAGTCGCAAAGGCTCTATCGATGCTTGACTGTGCGAGGGACCTTCTACTGGCAGTTGACCTTCCTGGTCATGAAAAGTACCCAGAATTAATCTGAAAGACCGGACTGTGACCCGACATAGTCCTACAGTCTGCGGAGCAACGTCAGCTCATTCTAATCGAGCTGACTGTGCCGTATTAGTCGCGAATGAAGCAAAGTAACATGTATAAGCTCGAGAAATACAGTGACCTCGCGGCTGGTCTGTGGAGAGACGAAGCGTACACAGTAAGAATCTTCGCCTTTGAGTAGGCGCAAGAGGTCTCGTTTCCACTTCAATGTACAATGTGATAAAAGAACTGGGCTTGCGAGGAAATGTGCACAAACGATCACTAAAACAACTGGGCGAGGCTGCAGAGAGGGCCTCGAACTGGCTCTAGGCACAACGGAATGTCATGGGGGACTGGCTTCGGTGAGCTGGTCTGGGTATCTAGTGGAAAACAAAGTCTCATCCCTTAAAAGTCTATTGTGTCCTAATTGTCTGCGGTTTCCCTCTGTCATCTGCCACTAAAGTCTAACATGTGTCCGATAAACCAACCGTAAGCTCGCCACTTGATTGTCCAGGTATGCTGACTGCTCTTATTATGCTACCGCAGCGACTATGTAAATAAACTTCAAATCTCACAGTACTTTCTGCACAGTCACCAATTTCGTCTTGTCCCTGTCCGATTACATCCGGTAATACGTGCAGCAAGATCATCCCTGAGCTTCATGAACTCAGGTGGGCACACTCTCTGAAAATATCTAGGAGCTCATGGGCCTAAACATTTGTGGACGAGAGATCACTTCTACTGATGATTGGTAGACTCCGGCTGTACATGCTCCGCTGTGGATTTTCTTCTTATTGAGCAGTTTCATGAGACGAGAAAGAGAAGTCTTCAAAGCTTTGAAAACCCTGTCTTGAAATACCGCAGGGAATCATGTATAGTTGGTCAATTAGTCAAATATTATTCGGAAGCTGGTCAGATTTGTTTCTATAAATAAATTATGAGAATAACCTAGACAGATAAGAAGAAGAGTAATAAAAGAAAGTGACCCACGAAAAGAACGAATTGCCAACATCAGAAACAGACAAGCTACATTCTTTGGTCATATGGTGAGACAGAGAAAAACTAGAGTATATCGTGACAGTAGGAAAGTTGGATGGGGAGAGAGGCAGTGGCAGACCGAGAGAAAAGATGCTGAACAGTGTGAAATCATGACATGGAGAATCGTCTGTATCATTGCTGACTGAGAGTGCACTAGACGGAAGATTGTGGATAGACATGACTACAAACGCCACACGGCATGGGGTTTTGGGAGAAGAACAAGATGACGAGCTTCTCTCTAGTGGAATTCCTTAACACAAAAGAAAAACAAGTAAAATTAGTAGCTAAGACCGAAAGATTACCAACGCAGAGTAAATGTACTGTCTGCCGCAACTTCAAGATTTGTGTCTTCATTTTTAAGGTACTGAAATATCACATTTACTGAATTCTGCTTTCAGCTACGTGCCGACACTTCACGCACGGAGTGGACAAACAGAAGCAACACATTTCTCATCAGGTGTGTCTTTATGTTATAATAGATGTCGAACAATTATTTTCTTACAAATGTAGCAACAGTTGTAGTAGCAGCAGCAGTAGTGATAGTAGTAGTAGTAGTATTTTTATTATAACCATCTTAATTAAAGTTATGTGCTAGCCGCATAAGTAGACGACGGAGCATTTAATGAATGTTTCGATGTAGGCTTTTTCCTATATTCACGCAATGAATTCACCAATTCTTTCATATGGGATCAAATAATTTAGAATATAGGAAATATATGTGTGTTTGTGGTTTGTGTATGTGTGCGTCTGTGTGAATGTGTGCAGCTATATATATATATATATATATATATATATATATATATATATACATATATATATATATATATAATCCAGAGGCCATTACCTTGTAGTGGTGGGCGAGCTTGAGAGACTCAGTGATCCAGTGAGCTATGCTGGCGAGAACGTATGTTCCTGGCAGGGTCACTCAAGCCGGACAGGTTATTGGTGAGGGGCCAGACTAATGATGGTCTCACGGTCCTCCAGGCTCGGGGGTTGGGCGCAGTGTTGACAGCTCTGCCCTGTAAAAAACCTACAACTTTACTGAAACTTCAAGAGGAAATAAGTGCTCTAAACGTCCGGCGGTCTTGGGACAGAGTTCCTCTGTCGGCATGAACAATATGGGTGAAAGTCTGCTGGATGTCAAAATTAAATTAAGAATTGGCTTCTGGAATGTAAGAACCATGTTTGAAACTGCCAAAACCACCCAAGTAATTAAAGAAATGCACTACTATGTTAACCTTTTAGGAGAAAAAGACATTGCCACTAAATTTATAGTAGAACTCAAGAATAGATTTCAAACCCTATCAAGTGACCCAGACACTCAAACTACAATTAACATATTAGGAACCAGGAAACAACACCACAAAAAATGGAAAAGCAGTCAAACCATGGACTATATTGCCAAGCGAAAAAGAATAAAGAGCCTCATAAATCACACTAAATCAGAACGTCAGAAAGACAAACTAATGTTAGAATATAGCGAACTAAATAAAATGACAAAGAAAAGTGCCAGATCTGACAAGAGAAGATTTATGGAAAATCTAGCAGTAACAGCAGAAAATGCTGCTAAAGCTCATGATCTACAAACCGTACACAAAATTACCCAGCAAATTTGCGGAAGCAGAAACAATTATCACAGCACACCCATCATAGATGACCAAGGCAGACTGCTCACCACATAGCAAAAACAAGACATGCAGTGGACTAAACACTTCTCCTACCTCTTGAACAGACCTGATCCTGAAAATCCCCCAGATATTCAACCAGCCTCTCAGGACATTGACATTATTACCGAACCACCAAGCAAACAAGACATCCTTAGAGCCATCCACACTTCAAAGAACAACAAAGCTCCAGGAAAAGACGAACTGCCAGCTGATCTCAATGTAGATGCCAACACAACTTCTAGCATTCTAGAACCATTGATCAAGGATATTTGGGAAAAAGAAGTGTTGCCTGTTGACTGGAATGAAGGAAAAATAGTCAAAATCCCTATAAAAAGAGACTTACCAGACTGCAATAATTGGAGGGGAATTACTCTGCTCTCAGTACCAAGCAAAATATTTCGTAAAATTATCATAATGCGGCTTGAAAAAGGAGTAGATAGATGCCTACGAGTGGAACAAGCAGGATTCAGAAAGGGCAGAGAAACAACTGAGCACATCTTCGCCATACGTAACATTTTAGAACAATACAGTGAATGGCAGAGAAGTATATATATTAAGTTTTGTGGACTTTGAGAAAGCTTTTGACAGCGTCCATAGAGACGGCCTGTTGAAAATTTTACGACATTATGGAATTCCAGAAAAAAATAGTCAACATAATTGCTCTCTTCTTTAAAGACTTTTCCTGCAGTATAAAAAATTGCAATACATCTTTCCCAGTAAAGACAGGTGTAAGACAGGGATGTGTTATGTCATCTCTCCTCTTCAACCTTGTGATTGATTGGATACTAAAGAACACAGTAGACAGGACATTGAGAGGCATACGATTGACTCCATTTGCTATGCTGGAGGACCTTGATTTTGCAGATGATATAGCACTGCTATCACATAAACATGAACATAGACAAGAAAAAAGTAACAGACTACTCATCACAACATAAATGGTGGGACTGAGAATAAATACAAACAAAACTAAGATCATGAAAAGCAGTCCAAACCAACAACCAGTGACCATAAATAATCAAACTCTTAAAAATGTAGACAATTTCACATATCTTGGCATTGTGATGTCCCTACCGGGAGGGACCGAAGAGGATATACAGTCACGTCTGAACAAAGCTAGAGCTGCTTTTGGAAGGATAAGGCAAATCTGGAAATTTAACAATTACTGCAGAGGAATGAAACTCCGACTCTACAAGAGCATCATTTTGCAAGTTCTTCTTTATGGAGCGGAATGCTGGAGAATGACCAAAAAGGATGCACACAAACGTTCTACCCTCCACAACACATGACTACGTAGAATTATCAAAATTTTATGGCCAAATTCAATCTCAAACACTCAACTACTTCAAGTCACAAACCAAGAAACTTTAGACAGTATGATCACCAAGAGAAGATGGAAATGGCTTGGCCACGTTAGGAGAATGAATCCTTATATACCTGCCAAAACAGCTCTCACGTGGACACCAGCTGGAAAGAGAAAACAGGGGCGCCCAAAAACAACATGGAGACGAACGATGGAAAGTGACCTGAGTGCGGCATCTTTGACATGGAAAACTGCACTAAAGATTGCACAGAACAGGAAAGCATTGAAAGTCCTCTCTTAAGCCTCCTGTGCCACTAGTCATAACGAGAACTGATATATATAATGCATGTATTATTATATGTTTGCATGTACATACGTCTATATGTATGTATGTATGTATGTATGTATGTATGTATGTATGTATGTATGTATGTATGTATGTATGTATGTATGTATGTATGTATGTATGTATGTATGTATGTATGTATGTATGTATGTATGTATGTATGTATGTATGTATGTATGTATGTATGTATGTATGTATGTATGTATGTATGTAGGTAGGTAGGTAGGTAGGTAGGTAGGTAGGTAGGTAGGTAGGTAGGTAGGTAGGTAGGTAGGTAGGTAGGTAGGTAGGTAGGTAGGTAGGTAGGTAGGTAGGTAGGTAGGTAGGTAGGTAGGTAGGTAGGTAGGTAGTAGTAGGTAGGTAGGTAGGTAGGTAGGTAGGTAGGTAGGTAGGTAGGTAGGTAGGTAGGTAGGTAGGTAGGTAGGTAGGTAGGTAGGTAGGTAGGTAGGTAGGTAGGTATGTATGGTATGTATGGTATGTATGGTATGTATGGTATGTATGGTATGTATGGTATGTATGTATGGTATGTATGGTATGTATGGTATGTATGTATGGTATGC